CTTCCAACAAATCTGATTTCAGGTTTCTAACTTTCAGAAACATGACCAAGAAGCTTCCATCATTCAAGCCGCCCAATTAGTGGTACTTCATTACCAAAATCCTAGGAAAGAAATACTACCCAAGAGACTGGGAAAGCTAAACCCCTACTGTTCACTCTCCTAGATGCCTGTGCAGCCAGGGGTGACCTGGAACACAATTTTGCACAATGAAACATCAATAGAATCTGCTGTCCCTTCCAGAGAAATGCTTGCTTCAATAGGTGGCAGGATTAATGACAGAGCAAGAGAACAATGACAGTGCTCCAAGATCAGAAGGGGGATTAGGAGGTCATGGACCTTTCAGGTGTTTTAGATTATCCAGCTAGGTCCCCACAGCTCCCACAGAGCCTCCAGAATAAGAAACTTCACAGTGAAGGAAGGAAAGCCTTAGTGTGCCTAGAGCAGACAAAGAGGCTGTCCATCCAGGTCACTGTGCATAAGCTTGTATGAATTTACCTTTAATTTAGGAAATGAGGCTCGGCATAGTGGCACCCACCTGTATTATCAGCTACTTGGGAGGCAAAGGCAGTAGGATCACAAGTTTAAGACCAGCCTGGGCAATTTAGCAAGACCCTGTCTCCAAATAAAATTAAAAGGACTAGGGTGTAGCCCAGAGGTAGAGCATTTACCTAGTATGTGCAAGGCCCTGAGTTCAATCCCCAGTGCCAGAAGTGTGTGTGTGTGTGTGTGTGTGTGTGTGTGTGTCTATAAAATTTAAGAAATGACAAGAAGTTTATTGTGGTCATGTTCTCTTTACACATAATCAATTCTCATTCAGAGTTGGTTAATTAAACACCTCGAAGTAGGGGAAATTTTGCTTCAAAATTCTAAAGAAAACCTAAAATTGTTGTAACTTTCTGCCATTGTGCAAGAAGTCATTATTTGATAAACACCTGTTACAGTAACCTCAAATTCCAAGGCTAAATAACATCTAAAAACTCATTTAAGATTGCTGGGACCATAATGTTAAGTTAAATAAATCAGGTGCACAAGCTTAAATATCACATTGTTAACTTCTATATGGAACCCCAGAGCAAAAATAAAGAGCAAAAATAAAAGAGATAATAGGAAGTAGGGAGATGGATTGTTCTCAAAAGGGAAAGAAATCAAGAGATAGAGGGAAGGGAGAGAGTGGGAAGGGATACAGGATGAAAAAAAGGAAGTGGGATGTGCCAGATAAGGAATGTAAACCTAATGTACTGCAAACAGGTACAGAAAAAAAGGGAACAAGGAAGGTGAAGGGGGAGGAAAAGAAGGGCCACAGATGGAAAAAGGCATTAGAATGTGCTATGTGCGTGTACCAACTTCCCACAAGTAACGGAAACCCTATGTACTACACACATGTACTAACAAATTAAAAAAGAGACTGCTGGCGATCCAGCTGTAGAACACTCCTCTAAGGCAGTGGTTTTAAACTGGAGATGACTTTGCTCCCTGCGGGACACTTGGTGATATCTGAAGGCACCTATGGCTGTCAAAAACTGGGGCTGGGGGGCCGGGGATTTACCACAGTGGCACCGTGCCTGCCTCACAAATGCAAGGTCATGAGTTCGATCCCTGGTACCAGAAAACAAAAACTGGGGCTGGGGGTGCTACAGATACCTAGTGGCAGAGGCCAAGAATGCAGCTAAACTCCCTGCACTGCACAGGACAGCATCACAGCTAAAGACTATGCCACCCAAAAATGTCAATAGTGCCCAGATATAGTAAAACTTTTAAAAAGAAAATTAAATTTTGCCAGAAGCAGAAATGCAAGGAACAAGTGGAAATGACTTATTGGAGTCATTTACTGAAGTGTGGGTGGTGTCCTCAATTCTACCGAAAATTGCAAGCCTGGAAGAGGGACAGGGCTGGCAAACGAGTGGACAAGGAAAACACCATTGAACAGGCAGGAGTGGACGTGAGGGGCAGAAGCTGCCCCCCTGGCCTACGCACACTGGGCCATCGAGTCAGGATTGCTCAACCATGGGCTGGGTGTGCAGTCAGGGCAGCTGACAGGGGGCGCAGCCTCCTTATCAAACAGATTCATCAATTCCTAAAGCTCCCATTCTTCCAAAACATTTCTAAGACAATATACGAAATCCATTTTCTCCTGATTTTACTTGAAGATGAGTCACACAAGACACCAGCTATATGCTTGATTTCAGGCTTTTCAATAAGAAGAGCAGCTATTGAGAAAAATTGCAGGGTAGGAAAGGCAGACAAAAGCACTAAAAAGATTCTGAATCGTTCTAATTTTTATGGGGAGTGGGGGAAGGCATATTCAGCTTAACCAATTTGCACAATTTTCCTTTCAGAAATAAACATATACATCATGCTGACAATTGTAGGCCATGCTTCACATGCTGGAATTAAAATTGTTTTAGGAAAAAACTTGGAAATACAGAAGGGGAAGCAATAAAATGAATTGCAAAAAAATAAAGAAACTCATTAGCAACTGAAGTATATCTAATGCCATTCAACATAAATAATTTAATAAAGTTTTTCTCGATCCTGTAAACAATTTCCTTCCTCAATCAAGTGCCTCTGTGTAGAACAAGTCAGGAGAAAAACTGAGTTGATCTGAGATCCAACACGTTACATACAGGATGGACATTGGCTGTGGAGTACGCTGCGTGTGAGCATTTTATATCCAAAGAAAATCCTGTGCTTGGCCAAGGAGCTTGAGATTGCTGCTTCTGAAGCATCTGTGAGTTTTTGGACAGTTTTTAAAAGGAATTTAAGAGCCAAGCGTGATGGCACATACCTGTAATCCCAGCATTCAAGAGCCTGAGGCAGAAGGCTTGCTGCAAGTTCAAGGCCAGCCTGGACTACAGAGCAAGACTCTGCCTCAAAAAGGGGCAGGGGGGAGGTTAAGTATTTTGATCATTAAAGAAAATTTACAAATGTAATCCTGAACTTTGTCTTTTCAAATAAAATTTTATTGTGTATGATTAAAGTATACAAAGTGAAGTTATAAGATTCATATATAGGAAAACAGTTACCATATTGGAACAAATTCATATATCCATTATCTCCCATAGTTCCTCATATCCTCCATGTGGATGAACCTAGAGGACAGTATGCTAAGTGAAATATGCCAGACACAGAAAGAAAAATATCACTTATCTGCAGAATCCTTTCTAAAAGTATGGGATGATCAAAGATAAGGAGAAAATAGAACAGTGGTCCCAAAAGGCAGAGTGTGGAGGGAGAGGAAGTGGGGAGATGTCAAAGGATACAACCCTGTGATCTGAATTAGTGATTGCATTAAAAGATAGAAAATGCATTTTCTCCTTTTGAACTGGTATGACAGGAACAGAAGAAATAGTCATAATGGGATTATACATGGAATTTGGATAGAATTCACTTTAAAATGTCAATAATTAGGACTTCAGTCATTTGAGTTTGATGATCATTTAAGAAGTCCAGGCTGACATTGGCTCAGGTAATAATTTATAGACAATGTGAATTGGAAGCCAGGCGTGGTGGTGCACACCTGTAATCCCAGCACTCAGGAGGCTGAGGCAGGAGGATCACCAAAAGTTCAAGGCCAATTTGAGCTACATAGTGAGTTCAAACCCAGCCAGAAGTACTTAGCAAGACCGTCTGGAAAAAAAAAAAAAAGTGAGAAATGTTAATAGCATAAATGAAAATTTTAAATGCACTTCCACCATATAGGTGCATTAAATCCTTTTTTTCCACTTGTTAAATAGATTTCCTAAAACTGTCTTGAGCAGGAATGCATTATGCAAAGAGGAAGAAGGAGGAGGAGGAAAGAGTACAAGTTACAGCAGCAATAATAGTTAATATATATTATTGTGATTTATCAGACAGTGTGTTAAGGACTTCATGACAATTTTTTCTGTTTAATGCTTATGAAAAAAAACTTCATGAGGCAGATGGTGTTACAGATCTAGAAACCCATATCTGTAGTTCTAAATCCAGCTATTTCCATAACTCATTTATTGACAAACCCTGGCCTGACCTGACCCAGCTGAGCATCAAACCCTGACCCAAAGTGACACAAAGCTACTGGTAGTTTCCACTCATTTGTCCTGTGGGTGCCCAGGGCTTGCTGCAGCCTTATGACCATGCCTGTGTCAGAGTGCAGTCCAAATCCCCTTGCAGAGGAATGGGTAGTTGCTTTTGTACTGTCTTTCTGCCTCACCTTTCTAAACCCTGAAAAAATTCTGAATTCCAAAGGGTTTCCAATAAGAGACTGTGAATCTTGTGCCAGCCCCTAATGAGATGAGAAAACAAAACCTCAGAAGCTAGGCCCTGGGGAAGCTGTCCATATTTGCACTGCGGTGAGCAAGTGTACAGTGGAGACAGGATTCACCACTGGGTAGTTCTTATTCAAGGAGTACAGTCTAGCCATCAGCTGCTTGAAGTGACTCTCAGGGCTTCCCAAGGACTGCACATAGTGAAAGTGATACAACTGCAACTGGCATGGGAAAATAAAGCTTTAGGACACTCCCTTCTCTCTTCAGCCTAGGTGAATGGGCAGATATAAAGATGCTGGCACCAGGAGGTCAACTCCAAACTTCCCTTTGCCGAATGCGTAACCAGCACCTCCTCCTCTCAGCCTCCATAAACAGAAAGAACAGGTGGGGTCCAGGAGAGATGAGCAAGTGGAAAGCCCTCACTGTTTCCTTGTATCCTGCCACCCTCTGTTCCTTACCATAAAAGATGTGTGCACACCTGGGCATGGGGTATGGTGATCTGAGGCAAATGAGGCCCCTCCGTCTCCTCAGAGACACCTTTGCTTAAAGCCTTTTTCCTTTTCACCAAAATAAATGGCCTCCTTTGGTTTGGTCGACAGCAAGCAGATGGACCTGAGTGTATGGACTTGAGCTGCCAGTAACACGACCACATTTAAATTACACTTTGACTAATTTAGATAAATCACTTATTGACCTGAGCTAAACAAATGTGTCCACTATTTTGAGAAAGCTTGTAAGCAGTCATCACCTACTTACCCTCAGCCTGCTCTCTTCCTGGCTGCCCATTTCTTGAATCTTCTCCAAAATGGTGTCCTCAGTGGGCCCAGTCATCCCCAGCCTGCCTCTAAGGAGGGCTGTGATTTTCTCCCTAAATAAGGTGTTCTGGCTTTGTGAGGCCGCGGCTGTATCCCGACTGGCCTTCAAACTCTTCTCCAACTCTTCAGAGCTTTTCTTCAGGAGACTTAGCTCCTGCTTTGAGGCATCCCAGGCCCGCTGGCCAGCAAGCAACCTTTCTTGAAAGATCTTAACTTCCCTTTCCAGAGCTTCTTTTGCCTCTACAGCACTGAGCAAATCCTGAAACAATTACAGAGGGTGAAGACAGTAACATCAGCCACTAATCAGGTATATATACCTACACAGACCATAGCAAGTCATTTACCTGGCTTACTGATGACTTCAAGGAAATAGGGTTAAATGCTCAACCCAACCTTAACTCTAAGTTCCCTATAATTATGAAATTATTAAGGTTAGTCATTAAAAATTATTTGAATAAAAATGCCTTTTTAATCTCAGTTTATAAAAATATGAGCATTCTCATAAAAATATCATTCCATAACCAGATCTATCTATCAGTGCTCACTGACTGTTATTCTCTTGTCTCATAAAGACAAACCTATAATTGATAGAACCAAAAGAAAAAAAGACAGAAATAATTAGCCATTTGGTGGTGGAGAATTAAAAGTAAAAGTTAAGGTACCATACTAAAAACAATAAATAATCTTAAAGAATATAATATAATATGTATGATTAGATTCAGGAAAATGTAGGGCACAGAGAAAGTTACCTGTGTACCTATTTCTATTTACCATAATCTGGAATGGCCCACAGTGCCACTAAATGGACATCTTCTAAATTAATTTTTAATCACTTTAGTCACTTGTTAACATCAAATTCCAAAATACATGAATTTACATCAAATAAGAATAAGCAGTTAATCAGCATTGCTATAGGATTACTACCTGGTTAATTAGCAAAAAAATTTAAATTAAAAATAGTACTGTACATCAGAAGTAAAAGGTACAAAAGGTAAATTTTTTTTTTTTTTTTTTTTTGGTACCAGGGATCAAACTCAGGACCTTGCACTTTCAAGGCAGGCAGCAGCACCACTGAGCTAAATCCCCAGCCCAGCAAACAATACTTTTGAGCCACAGGTTCTACCTCTAAATGGTCTGGTAACATTTCAGGCTGCTAGTTAAAATGCAATCATCCCTTTTGCTTCTGAACTGGACTTTAAAAGGAATTTATCTCCACCAACAGCTTGTAGACAGGAGAAAGGTCAGCTGAAACACTAGCTCTTACTCTTTAGAGAAAACATAACATTTTACTCTTTTTCTTATGGTGATTTTTTTAAAGGAAATCTCAAGTATCAATTTGAAAGAAAAATCACAGTAGAGGTAGTTAGAAAAGCTTGCCCTCTTCAGAGACGTAATAAGTAACCATAGAGCTGATTTTATAAAATTCCTTGCTTTTCAAGATCTTGGTTTCCCCTTTCCTCTTTCCAAATTAGGGTCTCTGTAGAAAAACCTCACTGCTGCTGCTAATTAGATTATGTCCCTTAAAGTAGAATCAAGGACACTTTATCAAAAATACGGAGTTTATAGTTTACAGTTTACAGATTTCTCTTCGGACACAGTAGTAATGGAAGAGCAACTGACTTGCTCAGTTAGAGTAACCAGCATTCACTTGAGTGATCACCATTTGGGCTGCCATTTTACTTAGCAACTACAATCGCATCTGTGAGGTCCTAAATTCAATGATGCACAGATAAAAATTAATCCTAATCTGGGCCAGGGATGTAGCTCCGCAGTGTAGCAAATGCAAGGCTCTGAGTTTGATTCCAGGTACCAAAAAAAAAAATTAATCCTAATCTGTTTTCATTGATAACTTAATGTACTTTGAAAGAAGGAAGGAATTTCCTATGTATTTTCCTTCTCTAATTTTCAGATAAAATTAATGCTTCAGAGCCAGGTGTGGTGGTGCACACCTATGATCCCAGCACTGAGAAGGCTGAGCAGAAGGATCACTGTGAGTTCGAGGCCAGCCTGGGCTACATAGTGAGTTGAAAGCCAGCTTGAACTACGTAGCAAGACCCGGTCTCAAAAAAGAAAATTAATCTTAATTATTTCAGAGTTCTAAACCCATATAGAATATTACATATTAACTTTTTATTGAAAGAAAATCCCTAATGCAAAAGGAGAAAGTTTCCACAGTCAACATAGAGTGATATTTGTAACCGATTATTTATAAAAAAGCCCTCAAAAGACTCAAAAAATATATCAGATATTTGAGTACAATGAACTTACTGTCAATTTGAAGATTAACCAAGTGGCAGCTAACACCAAAAGACGAATAAACACAAATAAAATGTCTCAACTCTGAGGAATTTTTCTACTCCAGATTCACCCTGTTATTTCACCAACTGAAACATAAGAACCACAACAATCCTCCAACACATCTAAAGCACTTTTTTTAAACCCAAGCACCCATACTTATGTTTAATTAAAAAACTACAAAAGTAATTTGTGCTGTTGGAAGAGGAAGACACTGGTTAGCAGTTCCAATTTCTTCTTTCTGGGCACTTTCAGCCAAACTCAAAGCTGTTTCTCTATGAAATGCCTGATCAGGAGCCAGTGATGGACCTTGGGGACAACCACTCCCCTGGAGCTCTGATTAATCACTTTGAGATGCAGGGGAGACACAGGGCTGATCCACTGGAAATAGATGTCCTCAGACTGCAAATGCAATTACAAGCCCGGCTCTCAGGAGAAAGCCACCAGACCGGAGTCTGGTTGCATGGCTACCTCAAGGATACACTGAAGCATAAAGTAATGTGACATGGGCATCACTGGCCAGGACCTGGGACTACTGTCAGACCATACTGACACAGAACAAGAAACAAGGAGCTGCCTCAGAGAAAACTCAGGGCTGGCCTCCAGGGAAGAAATCGCTTCTGCGACGGAGGGCAGGTCCTAGACACACGGTGATGCTGATCGCTTTAGAAATTCTTTTTATAATTAACAGATCCTGAGGTTCATTCTGACTAATACAGAAAATGAAGAATGGCTCCTTCACTGCATCTTTTAACAAAAATATTTGTAAATAATAGAATTAAGACATTCAATCTAGCTTCCCAATTAAAGGTGTGAGTTTGAATTAAGGGATGAAAATGTTCGAAGTGTGGTGTTTCTAAAACAGTCAATTCCTGTTAGGATGTGCCTGCTATTATATGGATCTAGACGTTCCTGACATCAAATTGCCTCTCAAAAATACAATAACTAATTATTGTCAGGGTGGGAACCTCTCTGCCCAGTGCTTCATTCCTCCAATGCTAAACCAGTTTTATAAAATAAAAAAATCATTCGGTTAATTCTACCTAGAGCAGTGACAATGAAAAGAAAAACCTAAAAAAATCCTCCAAGCAGACACTCCTATACCTGACTTGGACAAATACAAATAGGTTTAAGGACTGGCAACAATGCCAAACAAAATTTAATATGCTTCATACAATTTAATATCTTTTATCACTGAAATTCCAGTCCTAAGAATGTATTTGTAATGGTGACACATGCCTGTAATCCCAGCACTCGGGAGGCTGAGACAGGAGAATCATCTTGAGTTCAAGGCCAACCTGGGCTACTTAGTGAGTTCGAGGCCAGCCTGAACTACATAGCAGACCCTGACTCAAAAACAAAAAACAAAACACAACAACAAAAAAGAATGTATCTGTAAGGTAGATTACTTAATATGGAAGATGATGTATATGCAAAATCATTTGATTATGACACAATTATGTGCCACTGAGTGATGGGGATAGCTCCTGAGAAATGCACCGTTAGACAACACTGACAATGTTGACATCAGACAGTGTGCTTCACACAGGAATGAAGCTGTGAGGTCGCTCACGGGGCAATATAATCTCATGAGACCACAGTCATATATATCGTCCATCATTAAGCACCTAGTGTAGTAACATTTTCACCTAACTGAGAAGAATATACACACAGGCAGCTTCAATTCTGGTCACTTGTAGAAAAGGACACTGTAACTTGGTGGGGAGGATGTTGAAATGGGAGCACACACTCATGCATGCTAAACTTAGGCTACATTAATAGAAGTACTGTAACTGGAATAGGGGAGATGAGTCCTGCTCTGTTTCACTTGAACTAGACCAGACCTTCAGTTTGACACTGAGTTCCGGGATTCAAACTTTAATCTAGATAAAACTCTCCTACAACAGTGCTTTTCAAAATGGGCTCTGCATGCCAGTACCATGAGTGCTACCGTTTGTTCCCAGTCCCAGTGAGATAATTTTAGAAACCAAGAGTCTGAGCCATAACCTTGATTTTCTAACAAAGCAGGGCCCTGTCCACACTTTGTCAAACTTACATGGCAGGCAGCAGGTGCTATGGGTTGCATGTCTGTTGTGTTCCACAAGAACAGATAAAACATGCGTGCTATGTGTTATGTTAAGGTGAGTTTGCCAACAATAATCCAAAACTAAAAGAATATATGAAATCCAGAACATGTTTCTCTCATTAAAAAACAATTTAAATTTGACCATTCCTATATGAAATAAATCAGTAGAACTGTCTCCAGATGGAGGATTGAAGATTTTTTGAAAATGCATTTGTTTCATTTTGGATATGTTACAAATAAATACCCTGAAATTGGTTTTAAATCTTTTCCAGTCTCAACAAGCCTCTGTGAGACTGATTTTCTACTGTGTGTGTCTTAAAATAAAACATATCTCCTGCAAATAGCACAGTCATTAGTCCAATAAAGATGACCTAAATTAGCAAACCAAAAGTGAGTTCATTATCATAATTAAACTTTAAATACTGGCATAAGTGCAGTTCACTCAAAATGTGCAATAGAACTTTAACACAGAGAATTGTACTCATAACTTTTGTTCAGTTATGTTTGCAAAGTTTCTGGAAGTCTAGCAGTGATTATTTAATGTCCTACACACATACTTTCGAAGAATGGGTACAGTTTATGTAATTCTATTTTTTCCTGTTTATTTCCATTATATTTAGTAAAATTTAAAGGTATGTTTGTGGTTTCTAACACTTAAAATTTGGACTTTTGCTTTATGTATCTTTTAAATAATTTTTCTGTTAATTTATTTTATTATATTCCATAGAAGTATTGGTCAGCAGCGGATTGGAAATTTTAAAAATCATCCTTTCTTACTCATAGTTTGGGAGAAAAAATGTACTAGAGCGCATTCAGTACACAGGAAGGATGGTGAAAGTTTTGAAGTTGTGTTTTAGAAAAACTATATTGAATGAGAG